CTCATGAAAAGTAAACCTTGTTCTCATCCAACAACCTTATTTCTATTAAACAAATTAACAGTACTAATGAAAAGCACAAAAACTATCAGTGTTCAGACATCATGGCACAGCTAGTAAACAAAAACCTTTTATCTGAGTTTTGCTGTACACAACTGGATATTTTGGTACTATTTTATTACAATTCAATTCCAGAACATGTACATATGTATACATTGCTTTGGTATACTAATTAAGAAATGGTTTATTTGCAGTCACTTTTGAAATTCAAACTCACATTTATACCTTTGTCAATAGGTCAGGAGCAGTCTAAAAGGAAACACTGAAACTGGGAGAGGATCAGTGTTGGACAAAGATGGACATGCTAACTGCCTTACATGCTAACTTGTTTGGGCCAGTGTTTACATTTAATCTTGCCTCTTGAGGGCTCCTCTGGCACGTCGTCGTATTTTAGAACAGGAGTGACGTACTGACGATAAAAACAAACTCGGGTATCAATCAAGATTCTCAGTCATCCAGGACATGACATATTAAATGAACAAAAATGAAGCAAGTGAACTTTTGTTCTGTAGCTGAAGACATGCAGAGTTCCCAAGATTTAAACTGCACGAGGTTGGCATCATAGTTATCAATACTTTGATTGATCTGCTTATCCCTACCTCACACTAAAGTAATTAAATAAGCTTCTAAACACACACTAGACCATTTACAATTAGGAGTAAAGCTGCAATATGAAGGCGATGATCTAGTTTGCAACTGATTAAACAGAAAACAGGCATGGCAAGCAATGATGTCATTTAAATGTACTTGTTCTGACGGATTATATAATTTGAACTATGTTTACAAATTAATTCAATGTTATACAAATTGCATACGAACATATTTTTGCCTTTAAATGCATGATAGCATAATAAATTTCAATAAAGTTGGAGCTGAGGCAACTTAAGAGTTGTTTTTTCAAACGTTTTCTTACCAAGAATCATGACTGAGAAGTGGCAAATCACATTACATGCATTTCTAAGAAATACATCTACAGTGTTCCTGTTACAGCAACCTCTAATCTGTTAGACACTCAGGTCTAAGTATCTGCAGAAACCCTTTTTCCCCTTTCGATCAATTTAGCAATAATTTGTTTGGTGTTCTAAAATGAATTACCGGTTGTTTGGAAAAGGACAAACACTTCTGCTTTGCAATGTGTCATTTTTCACCTCATTCACTGCACTGCCTTCGTGAATCCTGACATCTCATAATGCAAATTGTCTGTTTGATGAGTTGGATTGGTGGTGGGTCAAAGGGCCATGTGGAGTGATTAAAAAAAAAAAAAGAGCGAGAGAGCCTGAGCAGACCTCTCAGTTTTCATGGCTACATCATCTGGTTAAGACAAAAAAAATGACCAGAGGTGGGCCAGTCAGGAGCTGAGAGATGAGATCCTGTACAAAGGCGGGCCACACACACGTACGCACACACGGAGGGCCACTTCAAAGACATTCCACAAGATGCAGAGCATTGTCGGAAAATGCCAATGTGCACTTCAGTGAAGAGTGCCTAAGAGAATCCCAAAGGGCTGGGAACACTCAAACAAACGGAGGGCAGCTCTGTTCGCCCTGATTTCAGAACTCCACATGTTGCAGAACAACTATCCAACCAATCATCCTGAATAAATCTAACAGGGACATTTCACTCACATTGCCTGAGTGCAACTTTTGTAAGGCAAACTGTGCAACAAAAGCAGGTAAAATAAAAAGTCCATATAGTGGAATAAACATGGAAACACACAACACAGTGCATACAGAGCTGTGCTTACAAGCTTGAGAAACAAGGGGGAGAAGGCTCATCGTTGCACAACTTGTTTTGCAGGAGTAAGAAAGACCAAGACACAACTCAGTGGGCTGCTTTAGAAAACTATGCACTGATAACAATGACTATAGCTGTCCAATCCCATCAACAACCTGTAAGACACTTTAGTCTGTTTTCTGGAGGGCAGTCAGCAGATCACAGCTGCTGAAGTGCACGTAAGTGCTGCCTGTGGATACAGAGTGACATATTTTAAATATTTTGGTTGTTTTCCCCACCCCCGTATTTGCTGCAAACATCTCAAGTTCTAAATATGGTCACTTCCCAGAGTCCTCATGAACAGCCAATAACATGTACCGCACTTCCCGAGAGAGACACAGCGCAAGAGAAAGGATAGGGGGGGGGGGGGCGAAGGAAGGAGGGCTACCAGCAGTTAGGTCTCAAAAGACCCCCTTTCAGGGGCCTCTTTTCTGTCTGCATATATGACCCATGTAAAGCAGCCAGATCACTTCCTCTTAACCTGGCCACTGGGAGCCTCTCAAGATACTAAATGGAAGGCAAGAATAGGCGAACAGTATCAGCACCAGGACGTTCAGTACGGTAATTTGTCACTTTGGGTCATTTCAAACTTGTCTACCTGCTTGTTCACTTGCCCTGAAGTGAGCTCATCATGCGCTGAACCCTTGGCTGCCTTGTGCAACACATCCTCCACAACACTGACAACAAATCCCACAAGGAGACATGTAGGCCAAAGGTTAAACCTCTGACAAAAAGAGGAAAATCTGCAATAATTTCATTTGGAACATTTCACGTCCGTCAAGTTGAACGATGAGTTTGTTTAAAACTCATGTGTGAAGACGAACTACACTTGTGGAGCTTTACTTAGTCAAATTAACAATTTTCATAAAACAGTGTTTCTTTAGGTCTATTTCTCAGTCTTTTAAATTATAACTTGAAGAGTATCTAAATTGGGGAGAACTGAAAATTTTTCATTTTGTTGGATAAACTATATGTTGAAATGTAGCGATCAACCAATGTACTAATTTAAATAAATACACGTTCAAGAGCCTTAGAAGAAATTGCACACTTAAAAATATATTTAAACTTAAAATACTTAAAATTTTGCCTTATACTTAAAAGGTACTGCTTAAAAAACTAAATTGTGGGCTACAATGAGCTGGTTGTAGCAGCTGCTGTTGCATCTTTATTTTCCAACTTAGTAATTTATTAAACGTGCACAGGCACAAGCGACTGCATTTCTTTCTTTTTTTTAAAGTGGCTAATATCGGCTGATTAAAACAGGTCCCTCTTTAGAGAGTCTGAGTTTATTTGTCATACGCACCCCGTGTGGTACATGTGGTGGAACAAAATTGTGTACACAGGGTCCCAGTTACATCCAACAAAAGTATAAATTGTAAAAGAAAAACAGTAATAAGATCTAAGACATGAACTAAGAAAATAGTTAAATTAAAAAATACGCTAAGCACTAGTACAAAACCAATACGCCAAACAGCAGCACCAACTAATAATAAATATATACTTAATAAACTAGGTATGGTAGTATCACTGGTTCAAGCGAGTACGCATCTGTCTCAGATTCCAACGATAAAAAGTCACACATATCCATTCAGTATAAACTTTTTCTACATTCTGAGCAACTTTCATGACAATTGGTTGACCCAAAAGTTGTTTTTGAAGCCTCATATGGGAATCATCTGATTGGATCATTAAGAAACATTTGCATCTTTTTTATTCCACTAAAATTGCACGACTACCTTTGTTCTCAACCAATTTTAACTACGACCTTGTTGTTTTTTATAGCTACATGCAATAAAATTAGTTTAATACAATTTGGGAACTTAATTTATTTATTGGTCACATGCCTAATGAAAGCAATAATAGCAGTCAAATAGCCATTATGGCTTTATGTCTTTTTCCTTATGATTTTCTTTAAAGGTGATGAGTGTAAAGTTTTAAATTTCCCCCCATCCCGTTGATTACACTTTTTGGTAAAGAAGCTAAACTTTTTTGTAATATTTTTTTAATTGTCTTGCTCAATATTTCAGGTCCTCTGAACCTGACTCTACCTTGCTAAGATTCATCTACCTGGGTTATTGAGCTGGCATCAGGATGTCTTATAATAATATGTATATATATTTTACCTTTAAACTGCAACGTAATAAAAATATTCCTGACAAAATGTTTAGTACTGTATTGTAAACGAGTTACAAAAAACAACAAACATGGAAAGGATTCAAAAAGTGGCACAAGACGCTTAGATGGCCAAATAAGGGGTGACTCAAGACTTTTGCACAGTGCTGTAATTTTCCATGAAGTGAGAAATGTCGTTTGTGTTTATTGAAGTAAATCAAAACAGAAGACCAGTCTGCAATCAGTGCACCACCTGAAAACAACAGCAAAAAATAAAAAGATTTTAAAAAAACCGCTCATGTTATAAAACACGGAGTGGGATTATCATCATCTCTGGCTCTTAATCTCGCCAGCAGCTGAGGTGTTTACGCCTCGTTAAATCGCTAGTATCCGCACTCATTGATTTAAAAAAAACAACAACAAAAAAAACTCCGCGCTGCACGGATGTCCTCCCTAACGAGCAGCGTGAGTAAATCCTGCAGCTTTTCAGCGTCGGTGGATCATTTGTTTACATCCAGCAGCGCGTGTGCGTGTCGCCATGAGAGGCCTCTTTCCGCTCCCCGGGCCAATCCCGCTGTTCCCAGTTTAGGCTCGCCCGCCGCGGACCACCTCAGTCCAGCGGCAGCGACTAATCTGGCCCCACCGAGCAGCGCAGGCCGCATGAAACGTGCACGAGACTGCTTGTCCCGCGAGGGCGGAGGAAGTCTCTCCCCGCATAACCTAACGGATTACAATTACAACAGCTGAAATTACGAGCCGCGCAATTACAGCCGAACGACTCTGAGCATGCGCGGAAACGTCGACGAGAGTCTCGTGACACAAAAAAACAACAAATAATCGCACATTTTCAGAAGGATTTTTGACGTTTTCTTGTCTGAAAATTACTCAGCTGTTTCCTTGAATTGCAAAAGTCTAAATAATATTTTAAAATTAAGCTTGTCCAAAATTTAACCTTCTTTACGATGCTTGCTTTCACACAAATCACCAAAACAGACAGGTTTAAAAACACGCAGTCACAAAGCATTACTTTCATAACGAAAACATAAAGTAGTACTTACTTTCACCGGTAATTAGTCCGCAATGGCATATAACGCATGTGCAGATGATAAAAAACACCATTTGTGAACGCAGCGTCAACCGCCTCATCTTGGTCTGAAGTTGTGAACCCCCTATTAGATGTTGGAAAAAAATATCCAATCTTCAAATAAAAAGATTTCGGAGTCGGTATTAAAAAAAATAAAAAAAAGCAAATTTAAAAAGTCCCCTCAGAAAATATCCAGGCCACTAAATAACGTGATCCTGCGTGTGGCACAAATGCGTGGAAAAAACCTTCATTTCCCACGACAAGTGAAGGCAACAGTCCACGTTCATCTGAGTGATTGTGGTGCTCGGCTTTGAGGAGACAAACAGCTACCCCACATTAATAAAGCTCATGTAAGAGGTCCCCTGCTAAGGTCCATTATTGTATAATGCACATTTAAAAACAGACTGGATGTTTGTTTGTTTGTTGCGTTTGCACAGCCTTTAAAAAGTATTTTCTTCTGCTACTCCTGCAGACACGATCCGAAAGTGATCGCAAATAGGAACAGAGCTTTTTCTTCCCAAATTCTGCAATAGTCTGTCTCTTCTGATAAGCACAACCTTCCTTTTTTAAGACCGATGAGAAAAGTACATCCCAGGAAACTTCGCGGCAGGAAAAACGTGCAGCTCCTCTCCCTCCTCAAAAAAAAGAAAAGAAAGAAAGAAACACTCCGACCTTCCTCTGAACTCCTTCACCCCCGCTGGCTGACCACCACCACGCCGCAAACGAATCAACTCCTCATTGGGCAAACGGGTGAAGGAAAGCAAACGTTATCTCCTCCTCTGACACGTTAAGAGGGGGTGAAAATAATGAAAATAACGTAGAAAAACGTCAGAGTTTCTGTGACGCGAGGAGTCTCGAGGTAGTCGGCGCGCGCGCCGCCCGTTGCTTCCCTCAGATTAGCTGCTGATGAGAGCGGCTAACGCTAGCAGGCTAATCCAAAACAAACGAGGTTTCAGAGTTTAAATAATAAACTACACTAAAACACGCAAACAAAGCAAGTATCTCGTCTTTCGACAGCTACAAAAATATGAGGTAAAGAAACGCAAGAAGACTTAAATATAAAAAAGACGAGTCTAGTGTTTAAAAAAAAAAAAAAACAACTTGTATCCCCGCTCCGTTCCGTCTCCTTTTCTGCGAGTCTCTCCAGCAGTAAACAAGTCCTGCCAGTCGCCTCAGCTGGGCCACACACGGTCTGCGGGAAAACACGGCGCTCCCTGCCGCGGCTAATCCTGCACTGGATCCGGACTGCCTTTCCGGTGAGAAACGCCTTTTAACACAGGAAACCTAGAAATTGTGGTAAATAGATGAGAGAAGGGGAGAAAACCAGGGAAATTGGCTGATATGATCTATTTTAATTGTGCTCACATTAGCCTAATAGAATCACAAATTAACCACTCTGAGGGATGCAGATGTTTTAAAGTCGTGTTTATTATCATTCATTCATTCATTCAACATTTATTTAGACAGGTTAATCCCACTGAGCCTCGGGGACTCATTTACAAGAGAGACCTGATTTCTTTAACAAAGAGTGATGGCAACAGTGGGTAACAATGACAACAATAGACAATCATTTAAAAAAAAAAAAGCACACATTTATTATTATTATTATTTTTTTTTTACAAATTAAAATAAAATGGCAGCCAAAAGGACAGTCAAAAAGAAAAAAGTAGCGGCAAAAACAGCTAGATTATAAGGTGGTGTAGAAAATTAAAAACAGGAACATGTCTGCATTGGTTTTTGCCAGGAACTTAATAGATGTTTAAAGCCACTTAGAGAGGTCAAGGTCGAGAGCTTCGGATCTTTTTGCAAGATATTCCAGGAAACGGGAATTATCAGGAATGATCAAACTGGGATATAAATTTTCTGCAGAAATTTTTCACACCAATCCAGTTCAGACTGGTTTTTATTATGTCTATCAAAATAGAGCAGGTGCTTTTCTCATTTGAGAAGCTGAATTACTTGAAGGAAGTTAGATTAAAACATAATAAAATCCAGGTTTTGGTTTGTTAGATTTTTTTTTATATTCTTTTGTTGAAACAACAAATTGCTTTGTTTTATGCTTTCTTTCTTTTTTTGAATAAATTTCTTCTTAAATACCTTTATTGAATAAAATAAGTCCTGACTGGACTTTTGGACCACAGGGTTATGGTTAGTCGGGGTTTCTAACCCTCAATTGACCTCCTTCATACCATTATGAATGATGACCTTTGACCTAGATTATTTCTTCGTCACAACAAATGTCCCATTTGGATTAATCAAGATGGTTTTGAAGTTTGCCTCTGCTTTGACACAGAGGTGTTTTACCATCCTGTTTATGTTTGAATCTTCATATTCGAGGTTTTACTTTCAGGTGTGGTCAAAGTCTCCTCACTGTCGGTGGTTTCTGAGATGTTTTCGACTAACTTGAACAACAGAATCGTGTTTTTATTGGTGTTTTTATGATTGTCAGTTCAATCACAGACATTTAGTGTAGGATCTCAGTCTTGTCCCTTAAACATTAAGATTTTGTTTTTATTGCATGCCACAAAAGGTAGTTGTGTTCTTTGTTTGTGCTTTTGAGTCTTTGTTTGTTTGTTTGTAGTGTTAGCAAAATAAAAATTAGAACAGTGAACAGAATGAACGTCTCAGAAAGTACCGTATTTTCCGGCTTATAAGTCACAGGTTTTTTTTGCATAGATTTGTCAGTCTTGCAACTTATATGCATAAGCAACTTATATACGTTGTTTTTCCTTATTCATAACACAATTTTTGACTGACGCTTTAAATTTCGAAGAACTGCAACAGCAAGTCCTCCCGTGTGCGTTCACTTTACTCAGCTGGTGCAGATGGAGGAACACTGGAGAGCTGGCGGCTCCGGCCGCGATGAATGGATGGATGGATGAATGGATGGATGGATGGATGGAAGGCACCGCCCAAGCGAAATTAAGCTGTTTTTACCAGTAAAGTGCATTTACTAAAGAAAAGTTAAACTGAGACACACCTTTGCTATAATGTCGAGCAAACAAATAATTGTTTTTAAGTGTTAATCTTGTTAAATTTCTAAGAACTGCAACAGCGAGTCCTCCTGTGCGCACTCACTTCACTTCAGGTCTCTCTTGTAAATGAGTCCCCGAGGCTCAATGGGATTAACCTGTCTAAATAAAGGTTGAATAAAAACTTAGCTGGTGCAGGCGGAGGAACGTTGGAGAGCTACTGACTCCAGCCACAATGGATGGATGGATGGATGGATGCATGGATGGATGCATGGATGGATGCATGGATGGATGGATGGCGCCGCACCACCCAGGTGAAATGAAGCTATTTTGACCATTAAATAAACACATAATAAATGTGACTTATACACCAAAGCGACTTTTATATGTTTTTTCCTCTTCATTTTGCATTTATTGACTGATGCAATTTATACTCCAGAGCAACTTATACACCAGAAAATACGGTAATCATTGGATGTACATTTACAACTGATTTACTTTTGTAATCTACCTAATTCAAGATGGCTGCCTTAGCTAATAACCGAAGCTGAGAGAAAAATGGCTACAACTCAATCATTGTTACAGGTATTTAGCTAAAATGTTGTGTGGTAGTAGATGAGAGTCCTTCCCAATACATACTTTATGTGCAAACAGAAGATCATGTAGGATTTTGCAACATTGTAAAAAAAATCGTACATAACGTAATTACAAGTTTTGATCAAAACGACTAACTTCTCGTCAGAGGGTGATCTCAGTTTGAAACTTCTCTTGAGGGTTGGAAGGTGATATGCATTACTTTAATAAATTATAGGTCTTTAGTTAAAGAAACTGTTATTAGCACACCTAAAATAAACAATTTATTGTTTGATGCGCTGTCTTCGTTGTTGTAAAAACTGTATGATTGGTCAATTTCCTGTTTTGATTTACATCTTACACATCAACTTAACTGTTTTGTAAAGAGGTTTGTAAAATTCTTCGCGTGTTTAATTCATCATAAAGAAAAAGACTTTTGTTTGGAGGACAAACATTTTTGAAACCAATACCATTTTTAAAAAAGCAGAAGATTTTTAAATCCGTGCCCTCAGGTGAAGCCACGAGGGAAGCAAACACTCACGAACAACCGACAAAAACGAAACGTGTTGATCTTTTAAACTGAACTGGGACTTCCAAACATTGTGCAACTTTTTCATGATCGTTTTGCATTTTCCATCTGATATTTTTGTTGTTACAGATCAGTCAGACTGTGGACTAAACAAAAACCGCCCTGTGTCATAAACGAGTGTAAACGCTCTTCCCCTGCAGCAGAGAGGAAAATACCTGCCTGCAGAAAGGTACACGCAGTTCTCTTTGATTTGCATGGCAAATATCCTCATAATAAAACCTGATGGATATTAAGAACAAACAAAGTCTGGAATGTTTTAATACTTACATAGGATAGCAAAGATATTTAGCTTCATATTAAAAAAACAAAACATTGTTTATCACATAAAGTCATGCCTGCTTATAAGTGCATGCTGCTCAGCTCAGAGCCTGTTGGGCAGGCTTGTTGTTAATCTGAGGAATGTTGTTGCCAGCGAACAGAGCAAATGAGGTTTTACTGAGATTAAATGTCACAGGTCTGAAGGACTAAGAGTTGTGGAATCTAGTCAAAACAGATCTCTTTGTCGTAGTCACGCCGTCTGACGCCAACAGAAGGCAAACACGCTCCTCTCCTCCTCCTTCCTCACATGTCCCACTTCCTGTCCGGTGCTCTTCATAACATGATCTTGAAGGTGTAGAGGTCAGTTTAATGGCTTTTTTATCCTAACACACCTAAAGCGCTGTTCCATGAGTGCATGCACGCAGCTCTGTTGTACTACGACTTCAGTTCAGTAGGTGGCACCAAAAATAACCAACAAATGCTTAGTCGTAATGTCAAACAAACAAAGGGATACAAGAATAAACAGTAAACATCAAACCTGTTGAGAATAAACAGGTTTGACTTTGACCAAAAAGACAAGTGGGGGGAGTTTAAATGAACATAATGTTGTTTTTCTTAACGTCATGGGGGGGGATGAATTGTTTAGACCAGGGGTTCTCAAACGTTTTGGGTTCGGGGACCCCTTACAGGGAAGAAAAAGTTTCAGAGACCCACTCATAATATTAATTATAATTATCAAGTTTGCATGAAACGCTAATGAATTTTTGAGACTGGAGTTGTTTTAAGACAGAAGCAATCCACTTTGGCCTGAGCCCCATTAGACTAGACTTGCTGTTAGCTTGCCAATCTGGTCAAAACTGAACTGTTTCTCCAAATTTTAGTAGGTGAACGAGGTACCTACAACAGGGTGGGAAATTTCCAGAAAGGGAATTATATTTGTA